CAGTCCTAATACAGTGTTCCACTTTTGGGAACAAGCACTTTAATTAATGCCGTACGAAAACCAAGTAAGGTTTTGTGACTAGAAAAATACGTTTGGGAACGAATATTGTCCATAAGAAAGTTTCTGCAAAAAATACAAGTCCACAAGCCTCATAGTCTTGTGTTTCGGGCAAAATAGGACGCTAAAGAAACTATAGTTGACCCTCTGAATTTCAGCAGTAACGTTTAACGTGAAACAGCGTATGTAACCTACCTCAGCGTCCTCAGGGGTCCTTGAATGCTTTTGAGCATTTGTGTCCTTAGGGTTAACTGCATCAGGCTCCATACTCTCAGTGAGATGAAGAGGTCGTTCGCATTCAGGGTCCTCGAGATCATGAATAATGTCATCGTATTGTGTGTCACCTGCATTCCAGCGCGTTGCCAAACTGAACAAGTTGGAAATGCAGAGTTGACGTGGAGTGAGAATTGATGGAGTGTGCCTGATCCGCGGTTTTGGTGAAATTTCGGTCTGGTCAGCCTGGATTGCATCCGGTCCAGCCGCTTTGTTGGGCGGGTCATAGCTGTGCAAATAATTCAATGGGGGGGGGGAGCGGTAAGATAATGGAAAACTTCCATAACTTTATATCTCCATAGAGGTACTGATTAGATGTCTAACATGTTATTGTGCTGATAATGGGCCATCTCCTAAGACCCTTGCGCTGAAATCCTGGATACAGTGGAACCTCGGTTAATGAGTTTAATCCGTTTGGGCGCCGAGGTCGTCATGTGAAACACGCGTCTTGCGAAACGTAGCCAATTAAACTGCACCGGTTCACTGATTGGTTGCAGGTGACTGATGACACACGCCCTGGGACCAAGACGCAACGACGGACACATATACACTGACAACTCGCTAACTGAGCGGAAGCTCGTCAAGCGAAACAAGTTTTCTGCTAGTGGCTCGCTCGGTATATAAAGTGCTCGGAACTGGGGCTACCAGTCACCAGAGGCTCCCTTTTTCAAGGGATTGACGGAGTATGCTACTCACAGGGAGCAGTTATGCGGGGTAAAAGTAAAAATGACATTTTGTCTTCGAGATCAAACCGTTTAAGTCGATGAACCCCCGAAGGCAAGTGGAAGAAGAGCCGAACAAGACAAAAGTGAATTTACACAGTTCGCGTTCTGCTTAATAGCAACTAACCCGCAGATCAAATGTCTACTTTACAATGCTTAGTCGGTTTAACTTCATTAAATGCTATTTAAAAGGCCGTACAAAATTCCATAGGGGTCACTTATGACTGGAACACGGACTGACAAGCTATGGTCACATCAGTCAGGATGATCAATTTTAACACGCATGTGGTGACATGGCCGTCAAGGATTATAAATACTGCATAGCCTGTGCCTTTATCACCCTATTCTGCAGTTATCTTTGAGGATGGGTTCAAGTTAG